TCATAATTGCAAGCAATGTAAAAATATATAAAATATAAGAAGCTTGTTTTATAATTTTAGTTTTATTTTTTAGGATAAAATTTTAATTAACCTATCTTCTTTCACTTGTTGCTATTGAGAGGAAATACCTTTCCCCTTGCTTTATGTTTCTAAATGGAAGGATCTACAAGATAGGAATAATCATGGAATCTTGCCCCACTCCCATCCCTAAGAAGTAACATACCTGTTTTCCCCTTCTTTGAAGCTCCATATCCTCAGGAAACAAATACTCTGCTCCTCCATGTGGTAATTTTACAGGATTGAGTTCTCATGGAGAATATCTGTTGAGGTTGTCCAGCCCGGCCTGTGACTGTATGAGCAAGTCTAATTGTTGCACTTCTTGTGCAAATTATAATGTTAAATACTTTATATTTTCTTATCTAAACTTAACAACATTTCTATGAAATAAATATAAATATCTCTCTTTTACTGAGGCTCTTAAAACCTAACCGGTATTCCCAAAGTCACACGGTGGTGTTGACATTTGAATCCATAGCTTGTGCTGTGGAACAATCTATGTGGAACAATCTATAGATCTATAGATTGTTCCACAGCACAAGCTATGTTAAATTATCTTCTTAGTAAGAGCATTTCTGTATATTCCCTCCAAATCAGTCAACTTTTAGTCATCCACCCACCTTGAAATCCACAGACATTTGAGTGCCTTTTGAGATAAGTCCCAAAATATGTATTCAATAGCTCCATAAACAATTTTTGACTATATCGTATATATTTGACACTAAAAATAAAAAGGTGAATTAATTTGTTTTTTGCTTTGAAGGATCACAGAGTGAATGAATTAATAGGATGTGAACATGTGAAGAAGCAAAATAAATACAGATCCATATTTCCTTATCAGCAATTATGAAACCTCAAAACCTGAAAACTCAACATTATTTTTTAAATTATGGTAATTTGGCATTAACACTTTACCTGAATTGGCATTTAGCTACTTACAGTCTTTGATGATCCCATGCTGTGTAAATAATTCATACATTTCATTACAGATATATTAATGTGTTTGGTTACTGAATGTTATCCCAGATAATGTGTGCCATATTATCTTTCTAATATCCAAAAGAAAATAATAATAGTGTTTGAAACACATCATGTCCCAAAAGTGTAGGATACAGGATTATAGACCAATTGATTATTATAATACTAGTGTTACAGTTGTGGGTGTGCTTTAAAAGCCCAGAAGAATAGAAGAGGCAGAGAGAGCTTCAGGGAGGAGGTACTATTGTATCTGATTTTTGAAGGATGAATACAAATTTTCTAGGCAGCCAAATAGAATAAGAAAATGCACTGTCACTACATGAAACAGCCCAAACAAAATCATGAGAGTATTGGTGAGGTCAGAATAAAGAATATAGGTAAGAGAGTAGCAGAAGAATGAAGCTGGATCAATAGCCAGGGGTCAAATCACAAAAATGTTATGAAATACCATGCAAAGTTTGGATTTGCCCCAGGCGGCTAAGGGGTGACCTGGAAGGATGTTAAGCTAAGAGAGCTACGGTGACTATATATATCAGTTGCCAGGACTTGACTTGTTTTCCACCTGCTACCCCGGCATTGATGAGATAAACTTTCATTTTCAAAACTGACTGTGTTTGGGTGAAATATTTTATAGAACCCCCCAAATTATCAGCAGAAGGGACGATGGAACTAGGGTCAGAGATATCTACAGAGCTTTGTCTTAAGATGAAAACAACCTTATGAATGCCAAACCTCATCACTACAGTGGCATAAAAAAATTTCATAAAACTTTTGTGGGTGGAATATAAAATTTTCTAATACTCGACCCTCATTAATGAGAAGGGAGGTGTTTTCAGTTATAGACTGAAATCTACTTCTCCTTTTTCCCCTACCCCACATTGTCCTGCAGTTTCATTATATCTTGGCTTTGGGCTCCAACTAGGTAGAAGTTACACTGTTGAAGAAATTGAGTCAAAATATTCAGAAAAATGTAATGTAAATGGAGCTGAAAATACATGAAGTTTCTGAAACCATAATTGTCTTTATTCCTCCATTTTAAAACCATAGCTAATATCAGGAAACACATTAATTTTGTACTTTTCCCTTTTTCTCAAGTTATGGTGCCAATGAAAAATAAAAATTAAAAATAAAGTAAACTACCATATAAATGGGAAATATGTTCAATGTTTCTTTTTAGTAAGCAACTGGCAAGTGAAAGAGAATATTAATGTCTCTGTATCACAGCATGTCAAATTAATTTTTATCCTTATAATTTAGTAGCAATAAAAACATGGAATTATTTCAATTTCCAAATGGATTTCCATTAGCTACAAATGAGAGTTTAAACAAAACCATTTTATTTTACCAGTCAGGAAAATGTAAATTAAAACGAGGTATCATTTCCCCATCAGATCAATGAAAATTAAAGTACAACAATATTTCTCTGAGATTGTAAGAACTAATGAACTCATATGATGTTTTTGTTACAGCCATTCTAGGGTACATTTTGGAAATATCTGGTAAAATTAAATGTGTACATAACCTATGACCCTGCAGTTCTATTTTTAGATATTTACCTTAGAGAAACATTCACAAATATGCACAGAGAAGGGTGCAAGGATACTCATTGTAGCTCTATTGTAGTAGCAAAACATTGGGCATAATCTAAATATCCATCATGATGAAGTATTATGGAATGGTATGTGACATGAAGTTAGACCTCAGGTATTGCTGAATAAAAAAAAATAAATTGAACAAATAATTATGCAGTAGCCCATTTAAGTTTTAAAAAAAGTGCATTAAATAATTCTATATTTTTATGTTATTTTAAGAGATATTTTTGTTTAGTAGTCCTCGAACTAGCCAGATACACACCCAACTAGAATCTGTGGTTACTTCTGGAGAGGGGAGGGCCCTCCTGGATTTACAGTAGTGGTTAAAGGAAATTAGGTTTATTCTGTATTAGTTTGATAGGACTGCTATTACAAAGTTCCACGGACTGAGTGGCTTAAATGACAGTAACTTATTTCCTCAGAGTTGTGGAAGCTACAAGGCTGTGGTCAAGTTGTCAAGAACGTTGATTTCTTCTGAGGTCTTTCCCCTAGACTTGTAGGTGGCCACCTTCTCCCTGTGTTTTTACCTGGTCTTCCCTCTGAATGTCTTTGTCCTAGTCTCCTCTTATTATAAGGACACCAGTCACATTGAATTAGGGTCCATCCATATGACCTCATTTTGCCTTACTTACTCACTTAAAGGCCCTATCTCCAAATACAGTTACATTCTAAGGTATGGAGAGATAAGACCCCAATGTATGAATTCGGAGGGTGTAAAGGAATTTAGCCTATAATATATTCCTAACATTTTTATTTGAAATAAACAAAAGAAATTGGATTCATATTGAATGTTGAAGCTAAACAAAGTTGTAGAAGAAATTACAAAGTTTTCTAAATCTAGAAAACTTTCCTTTCATAGGAAATCTATTTGGGCTTCAAAACTTTAAGAGTGTTAACACACCAGATTGCTAACATTGGCTATCTTAGAAATGTGAAAATGGAAGCAGGTAAAGGATATTAACTTAAAAAAAAAAAAGTTTACTTTTAGAACAGTTTTAGATGTACAGAGAATTGGCAAGATAGTACAAAGTTCCATATTTCCTACACCCTGTGTCTCCTATTGTTAACATTTTATATTAGTATGACACATTTGTTAAAATTAATGAATCAGTATTGATATATCGTTAACTGAAGTCCATATTTTATTAAGAGTTCCTTAGTTTTTACCTAATATCCTTTTCTATTCCAAGATTCTGTCTAGGATACCACATTGCATTTAGTTGTCATGTCTTTTTAGTCTCTTGTTGGCTGTGACAGTTTCTCAGATTTCATTTATTTTGTTTCATTTTTGATGGCCTTGACAGTTTTGAAGAATACTGATCAGGTATTTTGTAGAATGCTCTTCTACTGAAATTTCTCTTATATTTTTCTAATAATTAGACTCTGGTTATGGGTTTGGGGAGATAAAGTATCATTTTCATCACATCATATCAAGAGTGTATACTATCAATGTGATTAATCACTGTCAATGTTCACTATAATCCCCTGGGGAAGTTTTCTCCACTGTGGAGTTATCCCTTTTTCACCCTTTCTCAGACTTTATTCTTTGGAAGAAAATTACTCTGTGTAGCTCACACTTAAAGAGTAGGGACCTGTGCCTCACCTCCTTGAGAGCAAAGTATCTACGTAAATTGTTTGGAATTCTTTTGCATGAGAGATTTGTCTCTTCTTTCCCATTATTTATTTACTCACTCTTATTAACTGTTTGTACTATGTTCCTTTGAATCATTTTACATAATTAGTATATATTAACTTTGTAATTATTTTGAAATAAGAATGTTTTAGAGAAACTTAGATAAGAAATCATTAACTAATTTTGGACTTCGGAAATTAAGAGCATGAAAGACCATCAAACTATGGAGTTGGAAAATACAGCTAATAACGCACACATTCTCTATTAGTAATATGTTATTCTCATTTAGACTATACAAAGTGGTTTATACAAATATTTAACATTATTCTCTGCTGAGAGAGAGAGAAGGTTGTATCTTTAGATCAAAGATGAAGCAAACAGAAACCTTTTCTGTATATGCAGTTTCTGAGTTTCTTAACCTTCGTGGCTTCAAGTTGCAAGTTGCCAACCTTCACTTTGCAAACTCTTGGACCCATGGAAATAAATGAATATATCATGCTTTTCCTGTATACAACTGGAAACTCTTCTTGGGATAGGATTTTTCAAATATCTTCTTTGAGAATTTCCCAACGTAATTACTAATTGTTCTTCCCTACAAAGATAACTTAAAATTAAATTTTTGAAACTCTAAATGAGGAAGCTATGATTAATAATTATAATGTAAAATTATCTCACCATTTCTACTGTTTTATATATACTATCAAGGCATTAATATTTATTCACATTGTGATTTTTTCCAGATATTTCAGTAAGCTTGTTAGCAGTCGTTGTCAGCTTTTGTGGCCTGGCTTTGTTGGTTGTCTCACTTTTTGTCTTCTGGAAATTGTGCTGGCCTTGCTGGAAGAGCAAACCCGTGACTTCCAACGTCAGTACTCTTCCGCAGAGCACTTCAAATGCTCCTACCGAAGTTTTTGAGTCCGAAGAGAAAAAAGAGGTTAAAGAAAATGGAAAGCCAATACTAAAAGCTATTGAGCCTGCAATAAAAATCAGCCACACTTCCCCTGATATCCCAGCAGAAGTTCAAACTGCTTTAAAAGAACATTTAATTAAACATGCACGTGTGCAAAGACAAACTACTGAGCCGACGTCATCATCCCGGTAAGGAAAGATCAAAGGTATAAAACCCGCTCTCGCGCTCAGAGCTGTGTGTGTGTGTGTGTGTGTGTGTGTGTGTGTGTGTGTGTGTGTGTGTGTGTTGTGTTGTGTGTGTGTGTGTGTGTGTGTGTGTGTGTGTGTGTGTGTGTGTGGTGTAATTTCATAAGAGAAAAAACTGAGTTGGGAAAGGAGAAAAGACAAACAGGAGAAATGAGAAAGATATAGGGAACATAATTGAATAAAGAGAGAATGGGTAGGACATGTTATTATTTATTGACTTTTTCCCTTAAAATATCATTGGTTGATAGCTGCTGCTTATACTCTTTCAATTTAGTTTAATTCAATCAATAAATATCAAGAAAAGGGACATATGAAATCATCTAGAAATTCACAATCAAAACCTAAGAACAGAGATCGATGTTTAGCCTACATTTGTTTAGCATCAACACCATAAAGGTAGAACTGCTAGAAAATTGCTTCTTTGAACTGACATAAACCAAATGCATACTATGCAGGATATGGTAAGTTCCACAAGAGCCCTGGTGAACACCATGAGCATACCAAGGAGTAGACATGAAAGGAAGGAAGAGGGAGACCTCCTTAAGAAGATACATTTTAACTCAGCGTGAAAAAATCAGAAGTTTGCTTGAATGAAAATAATATGCTATAATCTGTTTCAAATTGTGTTAACTGTAAAGAAAAAAGAGATTATCATGAAGAGTCATTTTTTTCTGCCAAGTATGGTATTCAATACTTAAAATGAACAACAACATGATAGTGGCAGTTTTTTTTAGTTCCCAGAAGTAGCAGCTAATTTTACCCTAAGGCAGAGTAAAATCAATGATATTGGGAGGTAGGTTGCTTACAAAGTGACTCCCTAACCTTACCTTTCTACCTCTCTAAATCGAAGGTTCATCCATGCTTTCTGACATGTCATACTTTTGTGGGTTTAGAAATCTATCAAATTGAAAAACTGTGCAAGGATTGAAAGAATATTTAATATATCTTTTATGAAATAAAAAAGATGATTGTATCCATAAATAAATCTTCTTCCTGAAATAATTTCAAAGGTATGACTAAGAATAATTATTATTTTGTGGATAAGGAACTTTAGGATAAGTTCGACGCACGGTCTATCTTTTTCATGTTATACTTTTCTGTACTATTTAAGTTTTATAATCCAAGTATGCCTCATATTTAGTTATTATTTTTGATAAATTTTCCTAAGCAGTGACATTTAGTGTCATTTTTTTAAACTTTTATAGTTTTGATTGTAATATGACCCAATATATATTAATTTAAATTTATTTATTATGGATATTTAATAGCAAAATAATTATTCCACATGCCACTTTTTAAAATATTTATAGGAAAACTACTTTAAAATGATCTCATGTAGTTACTTGATTATCGCCGGTATCATTGCTGCAAACTGTGGCCTAATATATTTAAGACACTCAAATTTCAGGGTAAAAATGTTCACTTAATCTACAAAATATTTTTTTAAATATTAACAGCTATGAATATATATCAGCTTGTTAGCATTCAGTATTTTTCAACTCTTTTAGTTGATAAGTACACCCTATATAAGGACACTCAATTAATGAAGATAAATTAAGGTAAGCTATGAAAATAACTTCACTTTCTCTATCGAAATGTTTTTTTGGAAACTACAGAAAAACAAAATTCTGTCTCCAAAACATTACCAATGAATGTAAGGAGGCATCTTATCTGATTATCCCTAGCTAGGGGAGAATGAAAGAATACATACTGTGAACACGTGTGTGAAGACTTGATCTTGAATGCAGACTTGGTTCCTAGAAATAATCTATAGTAGGAATGAAGACATATCATTCAATCAAGCGCTGGATTTCTCAGTAATTAATTGAATAAATCAGAAAAAAAAAACTTTATCTCTCAATCTTAAAAAAACATAAAAATTGGATTGTACATATCACATGTATTCGAAGATAAAAAGTAGAATACAAATTTATAGTTTAGAACTTTGATATCATTCCATCTGCTTCTTTGAATTTTCTCATTTATATGAGTGACTGGGAAAGAAAGATTAAAAATTATTTTTGAGTATTATAATTCAGTCACTATGCCAGGCACCCTTCCTGCAAATCCTCCACCAACCTGCATGAAGTAAGTGTTATTAATTATCCCCATTACTTGCAAGTTAACTGAAGCCCAAAGAGATGTAAAAATTTGCCCAAAGTCATGCAGCTAGTGAGAGTTAGAATTCAAATTTATCCAGATTGGTGGAATACATTTTAAGCATTAAAGTCAAGAGGATATAGTTTTTATAGCAAAAGGTGTTGGCTTCAAGTCTGCTGAGGACAGGTAGTTTGGAGGATGGAGAATGGGGGCATCTTTCTGCTCTTTCTACTCAATTAGATAGATGGAATTATATATGGTTATTATGAATGACTAAAGTTATGATTTTAATGTTTGGCCTTGAGATGAATTCTTTGCAGAAAATTTGATTATTCCTAGTTTTCAAAAGCCCTAATCTACATTAATTACTTCATCATACTAGAAATTACCTTTATATAGAGAGGAAAAGGAAATTGCTGTGTTCATTATGCCATCCACTTGGACACAGAGATCAAGCGTATATTATTATAAATCAAATTCTTTTGCTGAAATGCTAACTTTTCACTGAGATGTAGCAAAATCAAACCACACACACACATACACACAATGAATTTAACTTTAATACTTGATTTCTTTACCTTATTAGGATATCCCAGCTCCAGTCTGTTGCAACTCTCCTTTCTTTGCTCAGGCAATAGATGACAAACATCATAGTTTTTCAAGTTTTATTGGTCTGTGTATTTAAATAACATCCTGATTGGTAAGGAAGTTAACAGCATTGCTGGAAACTGTCACATTTTTCAAGTTCTCATCTCCTTTTTCAAATACCTGGACATTTGGTCTCATCAACCTGCCAGGCAAACAAACAGCCCAGCAAGCATCTGGGTATTTCTCCATTATTAACATTCTACTAGCATCCACCTTGATTGATCGTTCATTCATCCAATAGGCTTATT